TCTGGCCTGTCTGAAAGGACGCTGGGACACTTTGAACCTCTGAACTCGTTTACTCAGACATGCAACGCCCAACATTGCCTCTTTTTCCTGCTGTTCAGGTTCTATGAGCCGGGGACGGAGTTCCAGGCGGATCGATCGTTCCCCATCTCAGCCCTTCTACTCCATCACCTGGGTGGTAATGAGGCAGGTCTCGGGCCGGGTTAAACTGACACGGTTCCCACCGTATCCCCAACAGCTGGATTCAATGCGCACTAAAAATGCTGGACAGAGGCTGACTGACTGACTGCTAGAATGAATGAATGCATGCGAGCAATAAGGAAATGGTGTCAGAAATACGACGTGATTGGGACTGTAAATACGCAGAGAGCCCCAGGGGCACTCGGCCAGCCTGGGGGTCCTACACGGGGTGGTTGGGGGGGCAGAGCGGACTTTTGGAATGACCTGAGGACAGAGCAGGACTCTCTGTACAGGGGAAGATGAGGGGCGAGTGTTAGAGCCGGTGTGCGGCGTGGTGCAGGGTGTGCGCTAGTGCCCAGAGGGGCTGGGGGTGGGGAGAGCAGAGGCCAGGCCACGGGGTGAGGGGACGACGGGTCCAGGGCTTGGACTCTGTCCTGTTCACTGTGAGGGACCCCCAAGGGTGTTTTTCACTCAACTTCTGGCCGGGGGCATGTCAAACATACAAACGTAGATGATGGAGTGTAAGGACAGCTCCCCACCCCCGCCCCCCAGCACACATACTTGTCACCAGCTTTAGCGAACTTTCAACTCAAGGCCAGCCCCGTGTCATCTCCTCCTGCCCCTTGCCCTGTTACTCGCAAATTCCAGACACCCTACCTTTTACATTTGCCAATGTTTCACCTGGCATCGCCAAGGTAAACATGTCTGATTTTAAACACTATCCACAATACCACCATCACCAAAAATAAACAATTCCTTAATATCGTCAAACCTCCACTGAAGGTTGGGAATGGAGAAACAGATAACACAGCCTGACCAACATTTTACAGAGCTGGGGGAGGAGGGGGGATGAACAGGGAGGAGGGAGGCAGGGACCAGCTGGGAGGCTGCACGTTCCTCCAGCAGGGAGCTGGCCCTGGCCTGGACATGGGCTGAGCTGTGGAGACGATGCAAGGGCTCAGGTGTGAATGGCATTGGGGGGTACAGTCCCCCCGATGATGTGGGGTAGAAAGATCCCCTGGAGAAGGAGATGGCTACGCACTCCAGTATCCTTGCCTCAAAAATTCCACGGACAGAGGAGCCTGGCGGGCTACCATCCACAGGATCGCAAAGAGTCAGACACGACTGAGTGACACTTTAACACGTGGGATCTGTTTCGGTGACCCAGGGATCAAACTCATGCCCCCTGCATTGGCAGCATGGAGCCTTAACCACTGAACTGTCAGGGAAGTCCCGCTCCTTCCAAACATTCTTATTTGGAAAGGTTCCCAGACGCCCAGGGAGCTACTGATGGGCAAGCTCAAGGAAGGCTGATGGGAGGACCATGAACGGGGTCCCCCAGTGTTTCTGGAGAACTCAGTTGGGGCTTTTCAGACGTGCCTCCCTGGCCCCTTTTTGGCTTTGCTGAAAGGCAGTGGTGATTTCAAAGCCTCCAAAGTCAGCTTTATGCTAAATAGTTCATAGGCAGTAAAGGACTGACCCTGTCCACAAAGAGGTCTGGCCTTTGCGCTTGGATCCTGGACAGTGACCTGTAATCCGTGGAATGTCTGTGCTGATGATAAGAGTGTCTTCACTTACCTGGAGGCCTTGGGCCATACCAGGCAGTCTAGGAATGTGGCTAACTGCAGGGCCTTGGGGCCATGCAGTATCAGCTTGACTTCTAGAACGCAGGCATTATTCACATTTCACCAACTGTCCCACGGATGTCCTTTTTTCTGTTCCTGGTGCCAATCCAGGATACCACGATGCATTCAGTCACCCAAAGTGCTTTTTTCTTCCAGTTTTACTGAGATACAATTGACACAGAGCACTAAGTTTAAGGTGTTCGACGTGATGATTTGACCCACATACATCATAAAATGAACACCACAATACGCTGAGTGAACACGAGAAACTGGCAGGTGGTGATCAAGTCCTGATGGCTCTGGGCTGGGTGTTGCAGAGGCTGGGGGCCAGAGTTCTGTCTTGTTGTATCGTGTGGCCATTGTTGGTCTGTATGTATTTGTCATTCAGTCGCTCAGGCGTGTCTGACTCTGCAACCCCACGGACTGCAGTACACCAGGATTCCCTATCCTTCACCAGCTCCCAGAGCTCGCCCAAATTCATGTCCATTGAGTTGGTGATGCCATCCAACTCTCATCCTCTGTCGTCCCCTTCTCCTCCTGCCTTCAATCTTTCCCAGCATCAGGGTCTTTTCTAATGAGTTGGCTCTTCCCATCAGGTGGCCACAGTATTGGAGCTTCAGCTTCAGGATCTGTATGTATACTCAGGTCTGTATGTATATTCAGAGGTGATCCCTGCCTGCTTCAGTGTTGATTTCTTCTGTTTCTTCCCTTTCTTTTGCAGAGTGTAGGCTCTCCTTGATATACACTGGGACAACCAATCACTACCAGGGCTGTGGGCTTCCCTCCCACGTCCAGGGAGGGACTGGAAAGCTGTTTCAATATTTCTCCCAGGAGCCCCCAGCCAATTGGAAACTAAGGTGGTGCCGGGGGAGCAGACCATCCACCCCAACTGCAGGCAAGGAGGAAGGGCATTATCTGCTGAGGATTTAATAATAATAAGCTTGATCCAATGTTTATCTGATTTTTATGATCACCTTGTGCCAACAACTCTCAATAATGTCAGTGATAAAATACTCCTCTTTGGGAAGAAAAAGGATTATGGTTGGTTTACTTTTTATTCAATTTGCTGCAGTTACTGTTGGGTTTTTAAAACATAGATGTAAATTCAAATTTGCATATCTTTATTTCACTTTTTAAAAAATATTTTTATATTTATTTGGCTAGGTTGGGTCTTAGTTGCGGCACTCAGGATCTTCGATCTTTGTTTCTGCATGAGAACTCTTGGTTGCAGCGTGTGGGATTTAGTTTCCTGACCAGGATTCAAACCCAGGCCCCCTGTGCTGGGAGCTCAGAGTCTTAGCTGCTGGGCCACCAGGGATGTCCTCCACACCTTTATTTACAAGCACTGCATTATCCATGGAGGTTAACGCAGAGCTCATGGTTAGGCAGCCGGCCCCACCAGGCGCAGGCCACTTTGGAACGGTGCAGAGCTGTCAGAGCCAACTTTTGGTTCCGTTTGTGTCTCTCACCCCTGTGGTTGTTCTTCATCTTCCAGGGACAGAGATTATAAAGACCAGACCCAGAACTTGAGTTTCTTCAGTTCTGTCCTCTCATGTAACCACTTGGGGATTTGCATTTCGGTTTAGAACCGCGAAACAAAGTGTGAACTGCAAGGTGTGATGTTTTTATTAAGTGTTAACATTTAGTTCACGTGTGAAATAGTTTACTGATTTGGGATCACATTTTCAAAAGCAGAAATGAATTCTTTCCTAAATTGTTGATGGCTTGAAAATCAAGGAACAAATCTAGAAAATAATCATCTTTCCATAATTATTACTGAAAACAATTTTGCCTTATAGAGAAGGGGGGTGTTAAAAATAATCTGAGCAGGGGACTTGCCTGGTGGTCCAGTGGCTAAGACTCCACACTCCCAAGGCAGGGGGCCCAGGGTTCGATCCCTGGTCAGGGAACTAGATCCTGGTGCGGCGACAGAGACCTGGCCGAGCCAAATCAATAAAAATAATCAGGTCAGCATCAAGCCCCAGGGGCTATGGGGGAGAGCATGGGTGGGCCTTCGGGGGCCATGAAAATGTTTGAAACTAGACTAAGGTGGTGTTTGCACAACATTGTGAATCGGTCACTTTAAAATAGTCAGTTTCATGTTATGTGAATTTCAACTCCATAAAAAGAGAAGGCAAGAAAGAAAAAAAAAAAACCAAAAACTTCGTGGGCCTCATGGAAGAGGTACCAGCCATGAGATGCCAGAGACGCCCTCCTTCTCCCCGGCGGGAGCGGGGAGAGGCTGCAGGTTTGCCCTGAGCAGAGGCTGTCGGCCCACGGGTGAGCAGCCGGCCGCCCTGTGTGACGCCAGGGCAGCTGTGTTGTGGCCCCGCTCGGTCCTAAGTTAGAAGCGGGCACAGACAGTCAGGAAGGAGCCGTTCTCGGCTGAGTCCCCGCTGGCTGGCACTGGGGGCCGCAGGGCTGGTGGTCAGAGGTCTCCTGTCACCTGCAGTCTGCCAGTTGCCGATCTGCGTGCTGAGTTTCAGTGGAAGGTGTGGGCAGTAACACTCCTGCGCCCCCACGAGCGGTGAGTGCCGTAGAAGGGTGAGGTGGCGGCGGGTGTGGGGCGGGGGGAGCAGGTCAGTTACTGTCAATTTTGTCTGCATCCAGGATTCAGGCTCTGAGCGGCAGCTCTATGCGGGCGGAGCCCTGGGCTTTCCGCTTGCCTTGGGCAAATCCTGGGGGCTGCTCATATCTGTGGGCTGAGCTGCACGTAAAGCCCCAGCCCAGGGACCGTCCCTCCTCCTGCCCCTGCCCATTCGCCTCTGCGCCCTGCCCCTCATCTATCAATGCCTCCCTTTCACCCTGAGGCCACCCCCCCACCCGCCCTCGGCCCCCACTCCCCACCTCCACAGGGGGGCCCTGGAATGGGAGCTGGATTTCCCTAGGTGCAACATTCCTTCCTGGAGGGGTCCTGCCCCACCCCCAGGAGCGCAGGGGCTCCAGGTGCGGGCGGAGGGGGGCGGGGAGAAGGGACATGCCCAGAACACCTGGGCCCATTTGCCAGGATGCCCCATGTCTCCCAGTAGGACGCCCTGCGCCCTGGGTTTCGTTTCTGTAGAAAACAAAAACACTCCATTGGCCTAAACCTGAAAAACAAGCCCAGCCCGGCGCTGCTGAGGGCAGGCCCCGAAACCAGCAACATTCTTCTGTGTAGCCCTGGGCTGGGAGATCACGGCGCCTAGCCTGGAGCCTAACCTCCGTTCCTGAAGAATGCTCACATGAGCGCTTCAAGGGGAAGGCCGGAGCCAGGGGTGAGTGGTGCTTCTCAGAAACTTCTGAGCCCAGGAGGACCTGCAGTGCTGCAGGAGACAGCGCAGGGGAGCTGCACGCAGCACCAGGCTGGGGCGGCCTGGGTCTGCCCTGTGATGGGGGAGACGCTGGGGGCAAGGCCCGGCCGGGGAGCCCAACACAGCACCGCCAGCGGGTCCGCTGCGTGTGCAGCCCCATCTGACCGAGGCGCTGCGTCTCCCCGGTGCCCCCTGGCCCAGGCCCCACCACTTCTTGCCTGGGGGGACAGAAGCAGCCCCCTCTGCCTCCTCTTTGCCTGCTGGGGTGGGTTCAGTAGTGTTCCCCCCAAATTCACATCCACCTGGAGCCTCAGGTTAGGCCGTGACTTGGACACAGGGTCTCTGTGGGTGTCGTCGCTTAGGCGTCTCCGGCAGAAATCACGCGGGGTTGAGGGTGGATCCTATCTCCACTGACCGGGTCAGGACGCAGACACCCCAGCGAAGCAGGTCACCGACGCAGCCAAGGGAGGCCTGGGGCCACGCGAAGCTGGAAGAGGCCGGAAGGAGCCCGGCCCGGCTGACGCCTCGACGTCGGACTCTGGGCCTCCAGAATACGGCTTCCCGGGTGGCGCTGGCGGCAAAGAAGCTGCCTGCCAATCCCTGGTGGCTCAGATGATAATGAATCTGCCTCCAACGCAGGAGGCCCGGGTTCAGTCCCTGGGTCGGGAAGATCCCCCGGAGAAGGAAATGGCAACCCACTCCAGCATTCTTGCCTGGAGAATCCCCATGGACACAGGTGCCTGGCGGGCTCCAGTCCGTGTTGTCGCAGAGTCAGACATGACTGAAGTGACTGCGCGTGTACATACGCACTCCAGAGTAAGAGAATATACTTCCGTTGCCTTAAGCCACCAAGTTCGTGTGCTCTGTTGCAGCAGACCCAGGACACTCACACGCTTGCCCTCTGACCTGCTCCCTGTCCTCGCCCTGGGGGGATCGCTGAGGTCCCCACCCTACAGCATCAGGCCCCTGCCTGCCTCTCTAGTCATCGCTCCCTCCCTGGACTCCACCCCTGAACTGTCATTGCCTTGAAAACTTCCACTTCCGGAAAGTTCTGTTCCCAGAAAACCAACTGAGTGTGTTCCCACCTTGGGAACCTTCATGTTGATTGTTCCCTCTTCCCGAACACCCTTCCTCCGGGTCGGTGGATCTCCACAGGGGCGATTTTGCCTCCCGGGGGATATTTGACTATGTCTAGAGACATTTCTGGTTTCCGTGACTTGGGCAGGGGGTAGTGGAGGCCGGAGGTGGGGGCTCCTCATCACCCCACGGGGCACAGGACGCCCCCACGGCCAAGAGTCATCCTGCCCCAATGTCCATAGTGCCGAGGCAGAGAAACTCAGCTCCAGGCCTTTCCTCCACTCGGGCCTCCGCTCAAAGGCCACCTGTTCTCACAGGCCCTCCAGACCGTCCTACAGAAATGGGGCACCTCCCGCCACCCCCTGATTCCATCACACGGCTTCGCTCTCTTCACAGCCGCCCCTGTCATTGTCTGAAATCATCTTGCTTGTTTATTTTTACTTGGCATCTGTCTTTCCTCTGCTAGGACACCCCGGGGGATTTCACAGCCACTGAGGATGGAAATTTTTACTATCTAGCCACCTCCCTGGCAGTCCTCACCCCCACAGCCCCCCAGGGAGTCATTAATTGAAGGTCTGTTCTTTTCCACTTAGCTAACAGATACTCTTTCCCTTCTCCCAGGTCTTTGTGTGGAGCTGAACGCTGCTGGCCTGAACCTGTCTGAAAGATCGTCACTCAGCACAGTTCTAGCACTTTCTAGTCCTGCCAAGGCGATGAGGGCAGCTGTGGAGGCAGGTCAGCCTCACCTCGCCTGAAACAGACTATCCTTCCTGAGTGCACCTTCCCAACGGAGCCTGGTCTCGACACAGGGCCCTAGAAAGAGGAGATGCTGGCGCCCAGGTCCCTACCCTTCTACTTTGTTCAGAATGAGAACCCCAAGATAACAGGAGGGGGACTGCTCTGGGCTCAACTGTTGTTGTTTAGTCACTCAGAGGTGTCTGACTCTTTTGGGACCTCGTGGACTGTAGCCCTGCGAGGCTCCTCTGTCCTTGGGATTCCGCAGGTAAGAATGCTGGAGTCTCCTCCAAATTCATGGGCTCAAGTCTCAAGCCTCGGGACTTTAGAACGTGACTGGAGTTGGAGACAGGGCCTCTAAAGAGGTGATTCAATTAAATGAGGTCATATGGGTGGGTCCCAAACTCTTATGACTCATGTCCTTATAATTAGAAGACAGAGGAGCATTGAGGGAAGACCAGGTGAAGACACGGGGAGGAGACGGCCGTCTCTAAGCTAAGGAGCCTGGGAAGAAACCCACCCTGTTGACACCTTCATCTTGGACTTCTTCCCCCTGGAACTGTGAGATTAACTTGTGTTGTTTAAGCTGCCCGGTCTGTGGATGTGGCCAACCCTTCACTACCTGTGTACTCCTGGGCAGGTCTGCCTGATCTCCCCACGGTTCACTTTTTCCATTGGTGAGACGGAGAGTGTAAGACTGCTACTACATACCTACTTTATAGAGCTGTCATGAGCAGTGAATAAGTCAATATTTCTTGAGCCCTAAAGACGCGCCAAGCCTTTGCTCGTGATTTATTATGCATTTATCTTGTTAAATCCTCACAACAAATCCTTGAAATAACTTCTGTTATGCCCATGTTTATGGTTTGGGAAACTGAGATCCAGAGAGATCACATAACTTACCCAGTTTCACACCGTTGAGATAAGTATGGTGTCTACTTTTATTGTGGCAAAATATAAATAACATAAAACTTATCATTTTTTTTAAACTTATCATTTTGACCATCATAAGTAATACAGTTCAGTGGCCTTAAGTATATTCACAGTGTTTCTACAACCATCACCAGTATTTCTAGAACTTTTTCATTATCCCAGACAGAAACTTTGCCCCTATTAATCAGTAATTCCCCAACCTCTGTTCCTTGCATTGTCTTTGCTTTTTAACGCTTGGGTCCTGAGCTGGAATTCTGGAAGGCCAGGTACCAAAATCATCTCATCCACTCACACATCAGGCCACTGATACTGCCTGGAGCCGCTGGGTTCTTAGGGGAGTGGGGCTGTGGACTGGAACACCTACACGTGGCCTCTTCAGGAGGCCTGGGCTTCCTGCAAAAATAGTGAGTGGATTCTGAAGGCAAGTGCTGAGAGAAAGGGAGAAAGACAGGAGGGGGGAGGGAGGGAGGGGGAGAGAGAAAGGAAGAGAAAGACGATGCATAAGCTGTATCCGTTCTATGACCGTGTCCCAGAAGTCACACAGCCTCACTCTGCCTATTTCCAGCTGCCGGGTCCAGACCCCCAGGGAGAGCACACTAACTCCACTTCTCAGGGGGAGGCAAGCCAGTCAAGTTTTGTGAGAAGAGCACGTAGGATGGACAAATACATTGGTGAGGCCATCTTCGGAAAACACAATCTGTTGCGCATGAGGAGGCTGAATACATAAGCGCTGGGACATTTCTAAGTATGGATATGACCATGGAGGGATGCGGCTGGGCATGGAGGAGCTGAATTCTGGGCTTGACAGGAATATAGGATTGTTCATAGTGGGGAGAAGGTAGCGAAGGTGGTCAGTGCAGCCTGGAGACGGGCCCGAGGCTTGGCTACTCCTGTTTGTCACGTGTGGCTAGCTCTGTGGAGTCAATGGGACTCAACAAAGTGATGCCCTGTGACCAACAGCTCACGTGTGTGGGAGCCAGAGCAATGAGCCCAAGAGAGAGCCAGCATGGAGATAAGTTTAGAAACTACTAAGTTTAGCAGAATCTACAGGTGGTCTCACAAATTAACATGGAAGGGTTGGCTGCTTTGATTAATGATACTGGGACAATTGGTTAGGTTATTGTGAATGAGAATAAAATTAGACTTCTTAGCTCCCACTTTATGGTATCCAAATACATTCCAGATGGATTACAGAGTTTAAATAAAAGCCATAAAGAAACAAGACATTTAGTAGAAAATGCTTATCTGATCCTGGGGAGGGGAAGGTCTTTCTGAGCATAAAAGGGAACGAATCATCAATAAAGGAAGTAACTAATAAGGAACATATTCTGTGGCGTTGTTTGTAAAAACGGAAAAGTCAGGATCTACTTGAGAAGAGATTAAATAAGTTATGGGAGGAATTTCCCTGGAGGTCCAGTGGTTGGGACTCCGCACATCCACTGCAGAGGGCATGGGTCTGATCCCTAGTTGGGGAACTAAGATCCCACAAGGCAGGTGGCAAGGCCAAAAAAAAAAAAGTTATTTGATATAGCTACATGTTTAAATACAATGTGATGGTTAAGAATCACATTCTTAAATAATATTTAAGGACAGAGGGTATGAGATAACAGAAAATATATTTTGGCCTACATGGAAAGGAAAAAACTAAGGGACATGGTCATGCTGTATTAAATGAAAAAAAGTGGATAGCAAAATATTATAATTATACTATGCTACACTTCGCTGTAATTTTGGTGATGGCTGAGGTTCCATTGCTTACTATGTATTCAGCACTGTGCTGTGTTTCATATGCATTATGTTATTGAAATTTCCCCAATGACCCTATGAGACAGGCGCAGCTAATATTCCCAGTTTACAGGTTAGAAGACTGAGGTATAGAGAAATTCATTCCTTTGCCTGAGGTGGCAATCAAGCAAAGGAGCTGGCCTTGTTACCCAGGTGTCCCCATCTCCATAGCCCTGGCGAAAATTCTCTTGACAGCTGTGAACTTCCAATTTTGTAAGAAACCGACCCCTCAAAAATGAATGGAACAGAGGGAAACTGGGAGGATAAAGGTTCAAATGTCACCCCTGGTTATGGGTAGGTGGTGAGATGACTTTCCACACTTTGTACAAATTTAAAGAAAAACAAATTTATAAAACCCATATAAAAGAAGAGTCATGTGCCATATAAAAGTCCACACAGGCATGTCCTAAAGACTTTTCCTCTCTCGGGCTCTCCTAGGAACCTGTAACCACGGGCCCTGGGGGTCCCCATGAAAAGACACACCCAAAAATGCCCTGAGCAGCACAGGGCCCCAGAAGACGCCTGGAGAGCCCTTCATGGTGAATGGCTGTAGTGGAAGCCTCCTGAAAGCAACTTCTGAAATGCACTGCCACTACCCTAAGAGCAAGGGACCTGGGGCGACAGGGAAAT